GAGGGCGAAGCTGGTTCGAAGCTCGATCGTCTCGGTCTCCGTTCACGCAGACTTTGGGATCGATTGAGGCCTGAATTTCCGCCATTGATCGCTCCAAACGATGAATGATTGTTGGTGCCAAGTTCGCCATCTAAGACTTGCGAGGACTGGTTCTGGCTCACAGCTTTGTGGAATAGAGGACTTGCGGTCGGAGAAGGGGAAAACGGTGAGCCTGAAGCCGTGCGACGGAGAGATTGCGAGGGTGTGGGTGAGAAGCCCAGGGTGTAGCGGGATGTAGATAGAGGGGATGAAGAATAGTTCGCCGAAATACTGCGGCGGTCAGTCGAGCCAGAACCATAGCCCTGTGTGGGACTGCCGCCGAACGAAGCAGAGAGACGTCGATAGCGCGGAGGGGTGATGTAGCTAGCCGCCGAGCCGGCCGGGCTCTGGCCTTGATTAGCGGACGGATTGAGGCCCAGGAGGGATCGTTGGGAGGGTGTCAATGGGATATCCGTGATCTGGTCCTTCTTGGATATGTACGGCATGATGGGTCGGAGGAGAAGTATGATATTGAGGCAGAAGAGGAGGCGGATGATGAGAAGGGCGGTCCGGGAAATTTGAGTCGGGTCGGCGATACCGCTGGAACTGAGCAGAGGAGGAACACTGCTAGCAAGTTAGCTGTTGCAATTCGAAGCCTCTACTTGAACGTACCTGCGGTAGTATACATCACTGAATATGAATGTTATAAGCAGCGCGGCAGCATTGGTCATAGCACCCTTGACGTTTCTGTCCGTAAGTGCTGTCGCAGCATTCCTCCTCAAAATCTCTGTTGTCATCGGGTGTCTAAACTTTCCTGGGGTGGAGGGAGGAGTGGGAGTCTCGACAGGTTTGGACGTAGATAAACTGAGACTCGACGTTCTTCCAGAGACATTGCTGGGCGCGTTTGCGACGGCTTTGGTGACTTGCGATACTGCATGTTGAGCACTCTGGAGCGCGGGACTGTAGCTAGACCTCAAAGAAGAGGGAGAGGGAACAAGGGCTGTCGCGGTTGTCGACATGATGGGCGAATCACCTGGATTTCAGAATCAGGCCAGTTCTCACCAGGCGCAGTGGGTTTTCTGTATCATACCGATATGAGAAAGACCGTAAACAACTCACCTGCTGAAGTGTCAGCTTAACATTATTGTCGTGTCTTGTCGTGTTTCTTTGTGCGTCAAAGGTCGTTCGTCGTAGGGAGGTGAAGTGCATGTTTGGAATCTCGACGCTGGCTTCCCTCTCGTCCCACGTGACCTCGCGCCGCTTTTGCTCAGGCTGGCTCGCGGCGGGCAGTTCCTCGTCAGGCAGCAAGCGGACGGATTTTAAGCATTCCAAAAGACAAAAGGGAATTGACCCGTCCGACGAGCCAGTCTATTCGTTAAACATATTATGGATTTATTAAGTATATTGAGGGAGTTTTATAGAACATTGTCGGGATGGAGATGGGATTGGTGGAATTGAAACGCAGTCAGGATAACGTAGGCAAGGACTCAGCATCGTTCTCGAGTAAAACGGGAAATTATTTCTCCGCAGAGCATGTCACGTACGAGTGTTTGGGTGAACTCTACCACGCGTTCAAATTTGAAAAGCGCCTGACGAAGCGCTGTAAGAGGAAACGGTGGCAAAATACTCAGATTGTTTATACGAATTTCGCAAGTCTCTCCCGGTAAGACTCTCACAAGGTTAGCCGTCGTCCATCTATAGAAAGTTGAGATGATTTGGAGTCCAGTTGTCAATAGACTGCAGTAAAATCGACGGGCTCTGCAGGGTCGTCATGGTGATTTCATGATCCCACTTGGCAGATTTGTCTGATTTGCCGTTGTTGGCCTCGTTTTGAGACCGCCATGATCCAGGGAGTTTGACGTCGGAATCTCGATAAGGGCGCTTTCCATTTCCATCTTTGGACCTGAGCATGACCTGAGGCTCGCCGCTTCAACCTGAGCCTGTCTCATACGCGACTGATGACGGTGTTGAATTAGCTTGAGCAAGGGGTCAATCGTGCCCATATCCGGTCTAGGGGTCCTGTAACCGGCACCCGCCTCTAATTGCCAGTTTACACCTCAACCGTCTCAGCTAAGCCTACCCAAAAAAAGGACCATTACTTTCGCTTTTGCTCTGCCCTCCTTACGTTTCACGCTCCTTCCGCTTACAGGAGGAAATTGATCCGAGTCCTTCGTGACCAGGACGTGTCGCCTTGACGCTTTCATTACCTGGACATTGATAGTGGCAAGGACGATAGTAAGGAAAGATCAGCTATACGGAGTATAGACTGCTGCCTACTTCGTGTCTATAGTTCTCGGGCGTTTAAGCGGCTAAACATCTGAGATATCTGGCGAGAAGCAACACAGAATGTAAAGGTAACCTCGCGATACTCAACACTGTTCATACTCCAAGTCTTTTCGTTATAGATATGTTCTGCCGGAGCGACGCCAGGACACGTCTATTTCTCGACCCCACGGGACTTTGATCTGTCCTGGAGATGGAATTATTGAAATGTACTAGTACACCTCAGAAACTAAGTATTTCTGAGCCGGATCAAATAAATTTCTTCCTTGGAACTTACATCGCAAGGAATCGAGCCGAAATCAGATCAGAATAAACTCTTCCAACCCTGACCGTGTAAACTCCTCCGAAACACTGTCGTCCGAAGGGTGTATATAGAAAGGATGACCATAATGATCGGCCTGGTGAATGCCGCCAGTAGCTTCCACGACCCTAATCTCAAAGCTCTCCCAGCGTGTCGGTCCTATTTCAGACTCTTCGATTAACCCTGGTAGAGAATTGGCGAAATTCTGGATGTCACAGTAAAAGATGACTTCGGCGGATACGTCGAAGAGGCAGGCATATGGCTTCTCCACGGGCAGCGTTCTCCCTATGCTTTCTGAATATAACTTCTCGGCAATGGTAGGAAGGCGCCAATACCAGCCGGCGCAAACCAGAGAGAATGTCCCTTCCTTGTCTGTGGGTCTTAAGATGTGGACCATCTTGGAGCCGACCAGCTGTACGACCAAGTCGCCGTCTTTGACGTCTCCGGTAACCACTACTCCACACTTTCCAGCCAGGACGTGGTCTGAGTCAGCGATAACACCATCATCAGAGACAACCATGGCCTTGAAATCCTTATGAAACAACATTTGATCCAAGCGCCGGCGCTCCGCAATAAACTTAGTCCGATACCGATATGCGATTCTTTCTTCATAGTACCATCTCCAGCCTTCCGGCGGCACATCCTTGATCTGTGATGAGTTGATTTTCCCCAATCGGGCCCCCTTGAGACGGAGCTGGTTCTCAGTCTCCAGATATTGAGGTGGTGTCCACTCCTCCATTCCATAAGGCTCCACTGGCAACTCCCAGAAGTCAGGGTCTGCCAGCTCTGCCTTGTTGTAATGCCGACCAGGCACGCCGCTGACCCAGAAATGGAGGTTTTGATACGCGCCATACTGAAAGTCACTATTTCTCCAATCGATAGCCCACGAGGGCATGTTTGCGCTCGAGTAGCGGGTGCCAGACGTTTCCAGACACTTTAGTTTATCCTCCGAAGCCATCAGGAATGACATGAAGCGCTGGTAAACCACGCTCGCGGTCACCTCTTCGGCGTAGTCGATAGGAAATCGCTGTAGTAGCTGGTCTGTCCAGCCTTCCGGACCAGCCGCGTCGCTTGTCCTTGCTCGTTCTAGCATTCCTATCAAACCGTATATTCTGTCTCGATCATCCGAGGCATCAAAGTCCTTGTTATCACCGAACACGCAAAATGCCAGAGTAGTTAAAGAGGCGTGACCCTGGAATTCAGCATCGAGTCGACTCGACGAAAGACTTTCCAGCTGTGGCGTCATCTCTCTGCACGCCGTGACGAAGTCGACAAAGTTGCCGAAAAGCATCGAATGGTGACCAACCTGGAGATCTAGTCTGCGAGCAGCATATACTTCTTGACGGACCCAAGTTCTACGAAACCAGGACCTTTGCAACAACAGCTTTACTGTCTCAACCCGATCCGCCTTTATTTCCTGTGGGTCGTATCGCCAGTGGCGTACATTCTCGACAGGTTGGCCAATCACTTTAGCTAAGGTCCGTATAACGGGGCCAGACACGGTGCCGATCCAAGCAATCACTTTTTCCGCCTTGCGGAAGATTAGAAGCATCTGCTTGACCTGCGCAGCCTTCTCGTCCATATTTTGTTGATCGATACAAAGAGCGTCGCACCACACCCACTTGTGCTTATCGACGTGACGGACATGCCTCAGTGCGTCCGCTAGCGGAGGTGGAATGAGAACCTGGACGCCGTTACAATCGATTGGCGCCGTGCATGTGGGATGGCCCCAGGAATAGGATAGGGCCGTGTATTGAACCGCGTCGTAAACCTCGGCGACTCCAAGCCCTGCTTCGTTTATGATAGCTGCAGCGTGCAGTTCGCATCTTAACGGATCGGCCTCGTGTCCTGGCAAAAGCTTGATGAGGCGAGTCTGCCATGAATTCAAAGGCTTGTACACGGAGCTTCTGGCAGCAATGACGGCTGAGGCTCCCGTGGCTGCCGGCGGAGAAGGTGTAGACATCGTCGCGATCAAAGTTGGCGGCCGGAAATCATACAGATTCAGTGACCAGCCGTCGGAGGATATCCACAACAACAAAGGCACATCCAGAAATGATTTCTTTTCCTGCTTCTGCTCAGGTTTAATCGTTGGCAGGTGGGCAGAAAGGCCGGGAGCTCGCGCTTCGCCACGTGGCGGGCGTGCACCCAGCTGGAAGCGAACACAACCACCAGCGCATCGAAAGTCGCTAATCAACCAATCGTTTTACCCGCATAATGAAGATAAAAGATTCTTTTCTCCAGCTCCAGTGATGCCTAGCCTTAGTGATTAACCTGGATCGGTGTTCTTCTTGCGATCATCCGCTTTTACCGCTGCATACTATGGGCTAGAGTCAGGATGCCATCGAGCCTTTTACATTGAAGGGGTCTATCCCATAATCCAGAGATCCAAATTGTCGTCTCAATCATCCCAAGTCTTGGAGAAGACATTGTCAAGGTAGACTTGTGACCCGTTTTCGTTCACAACTCCTCGGTTGAGGGGTCCTGACAGGTCTTCCACAAGCGCGAAGTCTCGCATGCCAACATCAGGGAGCGCTTGCTCGCCGCTCTCCGGGTGAGTTTGAGCGGAACTAAACTGTCCGTCGGTGGTCGCGGGTACAATCTCAATCCCTGGTGGATAGCTATCAAGCTGCGTGGCGGTCTCCAAGACGCATCTCTGCTCTGATACCAGTGACACATTCTCTTGGCCTTCCTTGTCTCCAGGCTCTTCTTGCTGTGCCTTGGGGACCATCGGTCGCAGCTTCCTCTCGAAATCAGCCAGCCTGGTCAGTGTCGTGGTCGACGCTCCCCAGAATTTCTAGTGTTTGACCAAGCTCAGCTTCATCAGGTCGAAACTCGACTGGGCGAGCTGGCGTTCCTCCGTGGACGGCGTATGTGCCCTATGGAGCAACCGGATTGCCGCGACGATCCAGTAAGTGTTGACAAGCAGCGGATGCCCGTAGCAGACGCAATCGATGAGGCTGTGTCGGACGCCCTGGACCACCTGGTCTGCCGTCTCTAGGTAGTTCTACAACGCGCGGAGTTTTCGAGTATGTGCAGGTGAATTCTTGGGAGGGTTGTCGCCGTCGTGGCACAAGAAAAAGAGTGGATTGAGTGTGCAGCCCTGGCGGTATCACGCGGGTGAGGGTCTCGGTTGAAGCACTCGTGATGGTATATAGATGTACACTTTCGCGAGCTGTGTCAAGAAATGGATGACCTGCGCCTCGCTTAATCGCCTTTTACGGACTGGGCGCGTATCTTTTGGAGCCCAGGTCCGTGTGTAAGACAAGTCATTAGGCAGTGCCAGTGTGAAACAAGAAACGCAGTTTGCTACATAGTGTATTGAGATTCTACGTAAGAAACCTGTCTCCTGCAATATCAGCCCCCCACGCATTCTGAGTGGTGAGAAGTGTGCATACCTTGGACCATGGCCATAAGGCGTGCCCGCAACAGCTCACGAAGACTTTACCTGCTGAATCACTGACCTTCCTTCCTCAACTGAAGCCTTGGCTGCCACGGCAAGGAGGGTCGAATCACCATGGTAGAGAATGTACTCAAAGCCCAGGCTCAAATTACGCTCCATTTGTTCCTTGGACCCGGTGTAAATACCCAAAGGTTTGCCGACCTTCTTTCCTGCTGCAACAATCCGTTTGAGAGCATCAAGGAAGCGATCCTCTTTCCCGTCACCACCAGGCAGACCCAGCGAACATCGCAGATCGAAAGGCCCGACAAAGGCGCCACTGACACCTTCCGTCGCTAGGATAGCATCGGCATTCTCAACACCGCTGGCAGACTCGATCATCGGAAAGACGGCTAATCCTGGGGCAGTGTCCCCGAAATACTGGCCGATTGATCGATCGGATGCCGGGTCGGCAAAGGGCGCATAGGCTGGCCCAAAGCTTCGCTGGCCAAGAGGCGGATATCGAGCCTTTTGCACAATTTGGCGAGCTTCTTCAACAGTATTGACCATGGGGATGACAATGCCGGAAGCGCCGCTATCGAGGCCCCATTTGATCCATTCCACCCCATGAGACGGTACCCGAACGAGAGGCAAACAGGTGCCCTTGGACGCCGAACTTATCGTATGGACAATATGCGTAGCTTCTAGAGCTGAGACAGGAACATGCTCCATGTCAATGATCACACAGTCATATCCGGAGGCGCCCACGATAGAAGCGGATAACGTCGAGGTAAGCGTAACGAAGGTGCCCAAGAAGGGCCCTCGGTTTCTCAGTGTCTCGACGAAAGGAGCCATGTCTGGTTCAGATGTTTGCCACAACTGGTGGTGAATGTGGGTGTGGTTGGAGAGTTTTGGCGCCTCTTGCCCACGACAGAAAATCAATAGATGTACTTGTCCTGAGGACGAAGATGGACTGCACAGGACGGCAGCAGGTCTTCAATATCAAGTGGTTTACAAGTACTCGTATTCCTTAGCCTCGCACCTCGGCTCTGTGATGACGAACACAGCGCGGGGAATGGAGAATGGAGACCGAGCCTTGTTTAAGAATCACAGCCTTGTCGACGCAATACGTGCCTCTGACCAATACTGTGCTGTGTAGATGTCTGGATGCATGTGTGACAAGAGGCCATGGGTAGAGCTGATTGGATTGTGGAGTAACTATATTCAAGACCACAACTCTTAGCTAGACCCCGGCCGAGAATCTCACGCCGAGGTTTATCCTCGCTTCATTCTTCAACGATCGTTAACTACTTTGGAGTCTGGCCCGTGATGTTCCACTGCACCCTGCTGATACCTTTGTTACCCATGAGCCACAGAGTGTCGAGATTCGGCCCCGTGAATTGGACATTCGCCACAGAGTGGTTCGTCTGCACCCTGACGAGGAGCTGGCCCATGTCGTCAATCACGTCGACACCGTGGCCCGTGGCGGTGATGACGAGCCCTTCGCGACTGACCTTGAGGCCGTCCGGAATGTAGTTCTGCGCCTGGTAAAAGGACCGCTTGTTGCTGATTTTCGTGCCGTTGTTGGCCACGTCGAAGGCGTAAATCGATCGTTTGCCCGTCGTGTTGTAGTGCTTGGTCCCCGGCCCGACCGCGGGGTCGATGCTACCGGTCAACGACCCTGTCTCGGTGATGTACAGAGTGTTCCCGTCTGGCGAGAAGGCGATACCGTTGGGCTGTTCGATAGTATCGTCGATGAGGAATAGAGCGCCCGTGGTTGGGTTGAAGCGGTAGGACGCTGTGGGGATCTGAGGAGCCGTGTCCACGCGGCCGTTGAACCATGGGTAGTCGGGATCCGTGAAGAAGAGGTCGCCTGACGTGGGGTGGACGGTGACGTCGTCCAGGTTGTTGAAATAAAACCCAAAGTAGTTGTTGAGGATAACACTAGACTTGTTGGTGGTAGGGTCCACAGTGTGGAGCGCGATACGCTGCTCCGTGCCATTGAGATTGTCGAAGCCACCGCTGGATGCCCAGATGATCTGTCCGTTGTGATAGACACCGCCGTTTGGCGCGAAGATCGGAGGATCCGTCACATATTCCTGCAGCGTCAATGGTTCCTGGTTGAGGTCGACCATGAGTTGCGGCAAATATTGGGACATGTTGCTCAGCGGCGCCAATTGTGGCGGCAGTTGAGACATGAACAGCTTGTTCAGTCCGGGCACGTAGACGGGTGCCTCATGCACTGAATTGCCGAGTGGAAACATGAACTCCAACGTCGGTTCCGACCCAAGGTATTGCAACCCGCGTTCTCGATCAAATACCACGAAGGAGGCATTCTGAAGGAGCGAGAAAGTAGGGGCGTTTGGTACACTGGTGTTGCGGAAGTCATACTCTGCGTCCAGTGAAGTTATGGAGCGGTTGAAATGATATGGAAGTACAGCCGCCTTGTCAGTATCAGCAAGGTATCTGTCTGAGAGTGAGTAAAGTATGACTGCTCACATATTTATTCACGCAGACCACAGAGCCACCAAAGCCGCAGTCCTCCACGATGGGCTCTGTTATACCTGGTGGTTGTTTTTGTGCCACTGCCTTGGCTATAAGAAACGAGGTAACGACACCAAGGACCTTCATGTTGGGCTATGAGCGTCAAGCGTCGCAGATGGCAGGGATGACTGTGTCGAAAGGAATAGCCACCAACAACAACGTTCTCGGCATTTTTCCAATCAAGATGGCTGAATATATCCTTCAACGGGCCTTTCCTGTCTCCAAGTTTTTGCTCTATATCGGGTTGCTGCCGCTCGTGGTATGATGCTCTCCATCCCCACCAACTGTCGGAGAAGCCCACGTCTCCATGATAGACGTCGGCATCATCTGGAGCTTACCTGAGAGACTTTCCGCAATGAGTCTTCTGGGAGGTACCTGGTATGCTTCCTGCCGTTGCCCTTAGCTTACCACGACCCCAACGAAAAGTCAGCAACCGATGAGTGCTTGGGGAAGTTGGGGAATTGCTCGACAGATCTCGGTGGTATGCACAAGGAACAGGTATAGTTTAAGTAACCGTTCATGTCGATCCTCTTGGCGCGATCATAGAGCCTTTAGTTCGGCACCTTTCCTTGGAGTAGTAGTCGGTGAGCAAGGTGGCTTGGGTGGCAAATCACGAGGCAGGCAGAAAATGGCGCCCTCAGTGGAAATCCCCGTTTTTCTATCGGGACGGTCGAGGGTATCAATCTGGGGTAGAGAAATTCCACGGATTTCTCAATCGATAAGTGCGTGTAAAGTCGCTTTACTCCACCGTTGACGCCCAGCCTCAATTCTACGGCGGCGTATAAAGTCTGCGACAAGCGAGTTCTCCTGGCGTGTGTGTGGCTTGGCACGCCTCATGAGCATCTGCAGTCTCGACTCGTCCAGAATCTCATCTACAAGTTTGCTTCTCCTGTGACTTGCATTCCCTCCAATGATAATGGATGTCCCCATTGACAACTCCCTCAGCTGCAATGATCCGCTCTCCCCGGCTGCCATCATCGACTCACCGACTTAGACTTCGAGCCTGCCAAGCACGGAGTAAGGGGGTGAAGATAACCTCAAACACTTGCTGCCAGTCAAGCCTTCTTGGCCGCTCCTTACAGACCCCGTGGCAAAATTTCCAACCGTGCTATAAGCCTGTCAGTGGCTGTCAACAGTCACCAAGACGCCGGGTATCCCTCGACTCCGCGTCAGTGGAGAGTCTTGGTCCCTATCCGTTCAAAGGTCCTTCTTTGTGACTATGGTGACCTTGATTCCGTCCTACCCAATGAGGCCACCAATGTTTCCCTCGTTTCAATCCTTGCATGCCCGAAAGCGCTGACCCCTTGACACGAGCCAGTGACATCCCCGGCGACAAATTCCTGTGCGGTTGTCTACAATGCACCTTGGCCGCAGCCTTGTGTTAGAGATCTCTCGCGTGGAGGGCTTGGTATCCGTTTTATCCACAATATCACTGCTTGAAATATCCCAGAAACGTCTGCCACAACCAACAATCTGGCAAGCAGAAACCCACTTGTTGATTCCATCACGTAACGATTGGCAGGGTCCCTCAACCTTTTGCGCTCAGCTTCAGCCTCTCGTGATTGTGCCCAGTATGATTTCACTTTCAGGAGTAATCGATATGTTATATAGGTATGTCCCCTTGACTCGAAATCACCTTGTCCGTTCCTCCCAGTAAACAATACAAGACTTCACTTCATTTTCTTCTTCTTTCCGTTTGTTACAGCCACACAGTCGATCATCAGGGTGCTGGTCGCCTCTATATTTGACCATATTCGAGTCTGTGCATCGTATTCCTCTTTTAATCTGCCGCTGCATTATCTTTTTTTCTTATTCATTTGTGTCATTTACACTTCGAGGAAAACGCAGTATAATAATTAAAGGTCGTCCAACATGTCGGAGGGATCTTGTCCCGTCAGTGGGCATAGGGGTGGACCCGGATCGCAATGCCCGGCTGGTGTCCAGCGAGTTGGTCCGCGAGGTTGCGCTTTCGCGGCTTATCAGATGTCTACACAGTTACACTATACACCTCAAGGAGTGGGTGTCCCAAAAAGAACCTCAGTTCATGCCCCTGCTAACATCTGCAGATTCCAGCAGACGGCCAGTCAATAGAGGACCTCGTCTCTCAGGAGAGACAGACAATCACAGAACTACTCATCCCCGAGGCACCGTCGACAACCATCACAAGTGGTCTCGCCAACGCAGACCATCTGAACCCCCCAGACCTTGATGTTCTTGCATCGGCCCTTGGTGCTCCGGCCCGGCAAGTCCTGAGGCGTGCCCAGGAATTGGGGCCCCGAACTGGGTGGAGGGATGGGTATCTGACCAGCACGCACGGCTTCTGCCCTCCAGATCCTTCAGCAGCACCTGCCGCTCTCTCGATGTCACCTGGAAGAATATGGTCGGATCTCTGCGAAAGAATGCCCGCAGTCGTCGCCCGGGGTAAAATGCGCGAGTCGATTCTGGCTTTGCCTCTTGTATACGGTACAGAAGACGTCATACCCGACCAAGCCCTCTGGGCCGCAGTTGTTTGTCTTGGTATCCTTGCAAGCGTTTACAGATATGAAGAACGAAACGATGGACACGAAGGAATCAGCATAACCGCACCACCCGGGACCTTTCGAAACCTGTCGGGCGAAGCAGACGATGAAGAGGAAGAGACCAAAGGAATACCCAGGAATATCGCCATCCCTCTTCGCCAGATATGTACGAGGATGGGCAGAGTTTTACCACATTTGACCCAGTACGACGTCTCCGTATACAACTACAAGCTTCGAGATCCCACCAGCATCAACCCGTATGTTGCGAGATGCGAAAACATGGATCTACGGTGGCCTGTGTTCAATGATCGCGGTGAAGCTATGTTCCTCTTGTGCATGGCTGAGACCCATGGATGCTTCACCCAAGGCATTGAGGTCATCACAAGATGTCAAGAACGAGTCATGCTCAAAGATAAAGAAGGACTGCTTCGAGAGCTGATCAAGCTGAAGGCTATTGTGGACCGGTTCGTCAATGTCTTCCAGAAGATCAGCGTGAATCCAAACTCCGGCGAAAATTTCGCGAACCCCGTCGAGGTAATCCTCCTACTTTCTTTGACTTAAAGCCCAGGGCTGACTATGTTCAAGTGGGGTCAGAGATATGCAAAGTTCAGCGCTCCCCTCTCCAAACGTGTTCCTGCATTGTCCGGACTCGCATTGCCAGTATTCCTGTTGATGGACGCCTTTATCGGAAGAAGGAAGTACGATAGCTTCCTTGGGAGAGAAGCCTTACATCTCAGGGCTTGGCTACCCATGAATATTCGAGCATTCATTGCTGCTGTTGAGTATCATTAC